ATCTTCATTGTTTTCATTGTTGGTTTTTTATTGTTTCTACCATCTTCATTGTTTTGTTATTGTTTTTTATTGTTTCTACTATCTTCATTGTTTTCATTGTTGGTTTTTTATTGTTTCTACTATCTTCATTGCTATCTTCATTGTTTTCGTTGTTGTTTTTTTCATTGTTACTACCATCTTCATTGTTTCTGTTATTGTTTTTATCATTGTTACTACCATCTTCATTGTTTTCGTTATTGGTTTTTCCATTATTACTGCTATCTTCATTGTTTTCATTGTTGGTTTTTTATTGTTTCTACTATCTTCATTGTTTTCGTTATTGTTTTTTTCATTGTTACTACTATCTTCATTGTTTTTGTTATTGTTTTTTTCATTGTTACTACCATCTTCATTGTTTTTGTTATTGTTTTTTCATTGTTACTACTATCTTCATTGTTCTCCGTTTTGATTTTTGTTACGTATTAAATGAGGATACTTATTTTTTTTAATCTTAATAGGTCAAATAATGATTATTCTGACTGTGGCATTAAACCCTCAAAATTCAACGTTTAAATAGTTTATTTGTTTGTTTTTATTGCAACTCTGCATATTTTTTTATTTACGCTTTATCCAGATTTTGTAAATGATGAAACGATATATATAAATATAAGAATTGTCCGTCTAGTCGTCTGGCTTGTTGTTACGAGAAAACAGGTGCAATAATTTTGATGAAACTTGGAGGTATAACTCATGTGGATCTTCAAGATTAGAATATAACTCACGTGGATCTTCAAGATTAGAATATAACTCATGTGGATCTTCAAGATTAGAATATAACTCATGTGGATGTTCAGTATTAGAACTTAACTCATGTGGATCTTTAAGATTAGAACTTAACTCATGTGGATCTTCAAGATTAGAATATAACTCATGTGGATCTTCAAGATTAGAATATAACTCATGTGGATCTTCAAGATTAGAATATAACTCCTGTGGATCTTCAAGATTAGAATATAACTCATGTGGATCTTCAAGATTAGAATATATCTCATGTGGACCTTCAAGATTAGAATATAACTCATGTGGATCTTCAAGATTAGAATATAACTCATGTGGATCTTCAAGATTAGAATATAACTCATGTGGATCTTCAAGATTAGAATATAACTCATGTGGATCTTCAAGATTAGAATATAACTCATGTGGATCTTCAAGATTAGAATATAACTCACGTGGATCTTTAAGATTAGAACTTAACTCATGTGGATCTTCAAGATTAGAATATAACTCATGTGGATCTTCAAGATTAGAACGTAACTCATGTGGATCTTCAAGATTAGAATATAACTCATGTGGATCTTCAAGATTAGAATATAACTCATGTGGATCTTCAAGATAAGAATATAACTCATGTGGATCTTTAAGATTAGAATATAACTCATGTGGATCTTCAAGATTAGAATATAACTCACGTGGATCTTTAAGATTAGAAATTAACTCATGTGGATCTTCAAGATTAGAATATAACTCATGTGGATCTTCAATATTAGAATACAACTCATGTGGATCTTCAATATTAGAATATAACTCATGTGGATCTTCAAGATTAGAATATAACTCATGTGGATCTTCAATATTAGAATATAACTCATGTGGATCTTCAATATTAGAACTTAACTCATGTGGATCTTCAATATTAGAATATAACTCATGTGGATCTTCAATATTAGAATTTAACTCATGTGGATCTTCAAGATTAGAATTTAAATGGATTATCAATCAGGCGAACGGTTTGATTTTAATACCATGAATGATGGTTCGAGTGAGTGAGAAAGTCGATTACAAAATACGTGAAACCGACGCCAAACGCAAGTGACGTTAATGCCACGCGTAGCAGGAGTACCTTTAAAATAAGACGAGCGGTTCGTGTTCTACTCTCAATGGTGGAAGGGGGCGACCCACGACCTCATTTATAACAGTACATTTTAAGCCAGATATTGTAAGACACATTTTCTAATGTGTGTGTTGAGTGATAAAATGATAAAAAAAAACTCAGGTTGTTTAGTTCTTATAACTTTCAAACACCGAATAATTGCGAATATATATATATGTATCATAATTACATAACTTTATATTAGTGCTAAAAATATGCCCCCCAGTAGCATAGCGGTATGTCTGCGGACTTACAACGCTTTTAGCCTTTGAACTTTGAAACTTTCATTAACCTAAGAACTGAGAACATAGAACCTTTCGTTAACCTAAGAACTGAGAACTTTGAACCTTTCGTTAACCTAAGAACTGAGAACTTTGAACCTTTCGTTAACCTAAGAACTGCGAACTTTGAACCTTTTGTTAACCCAAGAACTGAGAACATTGAACCTTTCGTTAACCTAAGAACTGAGAACTTTGAACCTTTCGTTAACGATATGGGACAAACTTTACATACCCTGAAGAATAATTATTTAAAACGTTGTCTCTGTGTAACATTTCCTTACTTTATTAGGTGTTTCAGGCACGATATGGGACAAACTTTACAGACCCTGAAGAATAATTATTTAAAACGCTCTCTCTGTGTAACATTTCCTTACTTTATTAGGTGTTTCAGGCACGATATGAAACAAACTTTACAAACCCTGAAGAATAATTATTTAAAACGTTATCTCTGTGTAACATTTCTTTTCTTTATTAGGTGTTTCAAGCACGATATGAAACAAACTTTACATACCCTGAAGAATAATTATTTAAAACGTTGTCTCTGTGTAACATTTCCTTACTTTATTAGGTGTTTCAGGTACGATATGAAACAAACTTTACAGACCCTAAAGAATAATTATTTAAAACGTTGTCTCTGTGTAACATTTCCTTACTTTATTAGGTGTTTCAGGCACGATATGAGACAAACTCTACAGACCCTGAAGAATAATTATTTAAAACGTTGTCTCTGTGTAACATTTCCTTACTTTATTAGATGTTTCAAGCACGATATAGGACAAACTTTACAGACCCTGAAGAACAATTATTTAAAACGTTGTCTCTGTGTAATATTTTCTTAATTTATTAGGTGTTTCAAGCACGATATGGGACAAACTTTACAGACACTGAAGAATGATTATTTAAAACGTTGTCTCTGTGTAATATTTTCTTAATTTATTAGGTGTTTCAAACACGATATGAAACAAACTTTACATACCCTGAAGAAGAGTATGAAGTACATTTTAGTTAAAATATTTGTAATTTATACTTATATTTTGAGTGTTTTTCTTGTACAACTCGTTGTTCGACAATCTTGATGAAACTGAAGAGAAATCAATAGATTGTTCATTTATAAATTATTATTTTAAAAGCCACTATTTTTTTCCAAAAACGTTTAAAACTTCTAGTAACAAGAAGTAAGCCTCTTTCTAAATAAACACAATATAATTTGAAAAAAAACGAAGACAGCATTTTTATCTTTATTGATTACATTTTTATAAAAAATGCAGAAAGTTTGATTTTACTTAAGTCCATATGGGAGTATTTGTGTTGTGCCCACCACAGGTGGCGAGACACGATTTTTAGAGTTATATGCCCACTGACTTATCGTTGAGCCACTGAAGAGAGGGCATTGCAGAAAGAGTAAGATATTCAGAATTACCGTCATTTAAAAGTAAACTTTTATTATTCTGTCTTAAAAATGATCACACAAACACGTGCATTTCGCCTCGAGAACCGATAAAAGAGGATGACGTGTTTCTAAATGTAAGAAATTAGGTTTGAAAATTTCGCGCATCTTTTTTTCTATTCGTTGAGGTCTATATATATATTTAAAAAGAGATTGGGCCAATGAGGTGTCGAAATCGGCCCGGTGGTCAGATGCAGAGCTGAGATTTTGTGGTTCGTGTCCCGATAACGCCAAAAAAAAAAAATAAAAAATACTTGATCCACAGTTTGTAGCCATCGATTGGTTATAACCGTTCCACCTGACAAGAGTAGCCCCATAGCTGGCGGTGTGTGGTGCTGACTAGCTGCCTTCCCTCTAGTCTATCATTTCAAAAGAGGGGACGGTTAGCGCAGATATAACTTGTGTAGCTTTGCGCAAAATCTGAACAAAAAAAAAGAATAATTTATATATAAATATATAAATTATATAGACAAACTATAACACAAAATATATAGACAGATTAATGATGAATGTGTTTTTAGAGCAGGAATTTAACATATATCTTGCTTATCAAGATGTCCTTTTCGTGTTTCTGTTCTCCAGCTAAAGTAGTTTACAGCTACTATGACTTCCTAATGGATTTTGGCAGCATCACAGATACCTTGAGACACGCTTTACTTATATTTTATAAGATACGAGATTTTTGAAATATTTAACTCCATATATCTTAATATCTCTCATTTTATTTGAC